GGTTGGCCAATAAAGGTATCACTGTTTGGTGGATTTTTGATTGAATTTACTAAATGGCCAACACAGCTACCCCTGCATGTTATATATAAAATATAATTTATATATATAATGTAATATAAGGGATACAGTGGCTCAAGTGGTTAAGACACTGACTGTTGGTTGCAAGGTTGGCAGTTCGAGGCCCAGGTGCTGCATGATGGTGTGAGCTTCCATCACTAGTCCCAGCTTCTGCCAACCTAGCAGTTCAAAAGCATGCAAATGCAAGTAGATAAATAGGTACCACTTTGGTGTGAAGGTAACAGCGTTCTGTGCAGCCATGCTGGCCACGTGATCACAACGCTGGCTCTTCGGCTTAGTAACGGAGATGAGCACAGCCCCCCACAGTCAGACACAACTTGACAACCTTGTCAACGGGGAATACCTTTACCTTTAAATATATATATATGTGCAGGGGTAGGCAACCTAAGGCCCGGGGGCCGGATGCGGCCCAGCAAGGCCTTTGGACCGGCCCCAAACCGGTCCTGCCGCCGCCGCCCCCCCCCCCCCATGATGATATTGATTACTGTTGTTATTACTTGTTCTTGGGGTTTTCTTGGCAAAATCTTCACAGGAGTTTTGCCATGGCTTTTCTGGGGCTGAGAGAGTGTGCATGCATTTTTTAAATTTTTTAATTTTTTTAATTTTAATTTTTATTTATTTATTTATTTATTTTTGGTGCTTCAGCCCGTCAATTGTCTGAGGGACAGCAACCCGGCCCCCGGCTCAAAAAGGTTGCCTACCCCTGTATATGTGTGTGTGTGTGTATATAATATAAAAAAAATACATATCTTGGATTTGTAGTTTTACAAGGTCTTTAACTCCACTTTTAAGTCCTGTAGCCCCATCCTATGGAATCATGGGATCTATAATTTCAGAAGGTCTTTAGCCTTCTCTGCCTTAGAGTGCTGGTGTCTCACAAAACCCACAGATCACAGGATTCTGTGCTGCAGCTCCATCAATACAATCCTGGGATTTGTCACTTTAAAAGGTCATTAGCCTTCTTTGCCAAAGAGTGCTGGGGCCTCAGCAAACTAAAAATCCCAGGATTCTGTAGAGTGGAGTCATGGGAGTTAAAGGGATGTCAAACTGCACTATTTCTACAGTGTACATGAAGGTGAACTGTCATGGGGTTTTCTTGGCAAGATTTTTTTCAGAAAGGAGTTGCCTTTGCCTTCCTCTGAGGCTGAGAGTGTGAGTTGTCCGAGGCCACCCATTGGTTTTCCATGGCCAATCAGAGATTTGAACCCTGATCTCCACAGTCATATTCCAATGCTCAAATCACTATAGCCAAGTAGGCTTTCTAGACAGAAAATGTAAATTCAGATTTAAGTAGGGTTTATTGTCTTTGTGTGCACATGAGTATTTGATTTGCATTGAATCAGTTGTCTCCTGGGTATAAGACATCAAGTTAATCATGGCATGTGGCTAGTGTGTATGGCCTTTATCAACCAACCTCGTATCCCAGTCCTTTGCATGTTTATTCAGAAGTAGTACTGCTTCCTTTCAGTTAGCCTTTCAGATAAATATGTACAGCAGTCCCTCCACATTCACTGGAGTTAGGGGTGAAGGACCCCTGCGAATGTGGAAAAACTGCAAATAAAAAACACTATTCTTTTTACCTGAGAAAACACCTCTAGGAATCTCCAGTTCCTCCAGTGCAATTCTGTGGTCAACATCTGTCAGAAGTTGACCATAGAATCATGCTAGAGGACCTACAAATGCCTAGAGAAGTGCTTTCTCTAGGACCATCTAGGTCTTCTAGCACAACTCTATGATCAACTTCTGGCAAGAGTTGCGCTGGAGGACCTAGAGATTCCTAGAGAGAACATATTCATCGAAACCACAAATAATCAAATAAATCTGCAAAAGTCAAAGCCACAAATGTGGAGAGTGTAGCTCTAGGGCCACATGCAGGGGTCCCAAGGTTGCTTTTGTGTTCCTTCACTTTCCCTAGATTGTCTTTTTGCTCATGCATACACAAATGGTGACTTGATTGATAATGATTGTCCTTTTAAATAGGTCTCCAGAGCCCCTTCCAAAAAAAACCAATTTATTAAAAACAGGTGGACATTTTGGGCTGCTTCCCATTCTGTTTTGTTTTGTTATTGGTTTTTGTTTTTTTGTTTTTTTGGCAGTCCATGTGGCCTCCAGAGGCTCCCAATGAAATTGCTCCCTTGTGCACCTTCCAGTGTTGCCCACTCCTAATTTATGAAAATGCGTGGTGCAATCAGGTTCAAAAACTATGGCCCATAACACACTGCAGAAATAATCCAATTTGAGACCGCTTTAACTGTCCTGGCTCAGTGCTAGGGAATCCCTGGGAATTGTAGCTTATTGTGGTCCCGTAGCCCTCTGACAGGGAAGGCTAAATGCTTCACAAAACTACAGTTACCAGAATTCCCTAGCATTGAGTTAAAGCGGCCACAAACTGGATTATTTCTGCAGTGTGTTTTGGACCTTAGCTTTTAATACTATAATAGTTTAATTCTGTTTTAATGCTCAGTTCTGTGTATATTTTAAATTGTATTGTCCTTTTAAATTGTGAGCCACTTTGAGTCCCATTTGGGGGGGGAGAAGCAGGATATAAATAAATATTATAATAATATATAGTACTGGATCAGTATCTCCAAAATGATATGGTATAGCTGGAAAAGGTGCAGAAAAAGGCAGCCCAACAGATCAAAGGGTTTTAGCAGGGTGGGGTGGGGGAATGAGTATGTACATATACATTTAGACATGATGTGGAGAATGGCTAGGAAGACATTTTTTTCTCTTATTCATAATAGTAGAACCCAGAATCATCTTGTGAAGATGAATAGCATGAGATTTAGGAGAGAGAAAAGAAATATTTTTTCCACCAAATGTACAGTTAATATGGAATTCACTATCACAATGTGTAATAGGAGATAAGGCACATTTATTTGAAACCTTCCTTAACATAAGCCAGAAATTAAACCATGATGTGGTACACAAGGACAGGGGTGAGTAGAGTAGAATTGATGTTTGTTCATAAACCATGGTTTATAAATGGTTCTGTCATTCAAACCAGACAACTTCAGCAGGGCTTCCTTGCAATAAATCTTATTTAAGAATGAAGTCAGAAACTTGCCCATGTGTGTCTGCCTTTCTGTTCAATTTAAGAAGTTTTTGAGTTCTAATAATTTATTGGCACTTGTCTACAAGATAGTTAACTTGTCCTGGATAATAGACCATCCTTTTTGTACCCTCAAGCTTTGGATCAGAGCAGGGGTGGGAATCATGCAGCCCTCCAGTTGTGGGACTGCAGCTCCGTCCAGTTGCTCTGAGGTAAATTAAATCTGTACTTTATTGTGAAACCACTAACAATAGCTAAAAAAGGAGATAAAGAGAGGGGAGAAGAGTAGAAGGATGAGTGGAAGGGATGAGGTAGAAAAGCGGATGGGAAGACAAGGCTTTTCAGACAAGGGGGGGGGGGGCTGAGGAAAACCAAACTAAAAAGAAAGCAAATTCAGAGATATAGCTGTGTTAGTCTGTAAAATCAGTAGGCAAAGAGATCTTGCAGCATCTTTGAGACTAACTGAAAGAAAGAAGTTGGCAGCATGGGCTTTCATA